CTTCGTACCGAATGCCACGAAATTTAACCTTTTTATCAGTGAATAATCATTGTGGAAGGATAAATCACAGTGGTCTATAGTTACATGCTACGAAAGGTATTCTCCAATCGAAATATTCGTATTCCCCGTACATATATAATATATATGTATTATACAGAGTCATCTTGCCCCAGACCGTGTCCCCCCATGACACAGCTCCACAAAAGACTCTAAGTTGTTCCGTTTTTGTTTGTCAAGTGTTTTTATATGCAATTAAAAGAATAATTGAGATGTAATTTAAACGATGCTGTATTATATATATATATATATATATATATATTATATATTATATATTATATATTACTTCAATTTCCGTACAGTGTACGCGTATAAAGAAGAAAAAAAGCTCGCTCCAGATTTAAAAGGAAAAGATTTAAAAAAGAGAATAAAAATGGAAAAGAGGTAGGTGTGACTGGGATGTGTGCGGACGTGACTGAATGAATAAACAAAAGTAATTGGTATGATTCATGTATCGAAAGCAACCAATAAACAATGTAATAAATAAGACTTTTCTAGACGTGCTCGAAACGTTTATTCTTTTATTCATGACTACTAATCTGTCCTAATCGACGAGGTTTACATTATATCAAACGCGAGTACGACTTTTTGATCGCTTTCGTCACCACCAAGCGGTTAGAGTATCGCGGAATCCAAAATTTCTCATCTGTACACGAGTTACTAGTTCAGAGATACATTGAGAATGAAAAATCGAAGGAAAATGACTAATCATTTTGATCTGCGTCTTTATGATAACGTGGATATCGTGTACAGAGTTTCATGAGCACCAGACGTTGCGTTAGCCAGTCAAGACCTTGCGTCGATCCTCCAGCATTTGTGACTAGTGACGATCCTTGAATGTGCCAGGCTCTTCCGCAGCAGAGCTTTTGCAAGCCTAGAATGTCTGTTAGTTCTTCAACACTGGCACAGCCAGTTATGTCCTATTGAAAAGAAAGTATATATGAAATAGAGCAGTGATATATTCCAAAATATAAGTTGTTCACGAATTTAAACAATTAACTTCATTTTTTAAATATTCTCCAATTTCAATAGCGATATGATTAATTCCTTTTATACGTAATTTTATTAAAATTCTCTGCTTTTATTTTGTGGAGTTAATCCACTTTGAAAAATAAATGATTTATATAATATTTGTACACAAATAGTGTACCTGCTTGTTAGCATATATAAGAAAGAGAGCATCCTTTAGTTCACGTTCATTTACAATTTTAGATAGTTCATTCTGCGCTTCTTCGAATCTCGATCTATCACTGGCGTCAACTACGAAGATGACAGCCTGTGTATTATGATAATAATGTTTCCACAATGGTCTGAATTTCTGTTGGCCTCCAACGTCCCACAATGTGAACACTAAATTTTTGTATTCCAGACTTTCCACGTTGAACCCTATGGTAGGGATTGGCGGGCTGGAAAGCGTGATACCTCTTATCGCTGATAGAATACTTGTTTTTCCTGCTCCATCCAGACCCAAAATCACTACACGCATGTCAATTTTTGTACCAATGTGTACTCTATTGTCCTATGATAAAAGTAACACTGTTAGACTTGCTATAAGAACTTAAGGGATATAGCTAGTGGATCAGAAAAGCGAACGAACCCTGCTGAATATTATGGGTATAGATGACTCGGGTGTGAGAAAGTCAGGACCCAATTGAGCATAGTGCTGTTGTTGTTGTTCTAAACTAGTTAAAACTTCCTTCACCTTCGTCGCACTGCTCAATAGTTTCCAGTCTTCAGAATCTAAAATACTTTCGCATTGAATGCACACATCGGCTACTTGAGATCTAGTCACAGTGAGGTCTTCTTGTTGTTGCCTTAGGGCACACAGCCTTCCACGAGTTTCCGTTTCTACACAGGAAATTGCTGTTCTCTCCTGCTCTGCTAACAGGGCTCTTAATTCCTCAAAGTGTTGACGCACTCTTTGCCTCGCGTCATCTATTGCCCAGCCTTCCAAGTCTTGTATTACGGTCTCTAGTGGAACGATAGCAAAATTAATCATTTTCTTCTAACTTACTAATTCATTTTAATTCTGAAGGCTCAATAAAGGACATGCCTATTCTGTTTGCAGTGTCCCTCATGCTCTCCATAAACTGTGTCATCTTCTGGAGAGCTGTGATTATTGACTTCCTGATATTTTCTGCCTCAATTTCCACTAGGGCTAACTATAATATAATCCTCAAGATTAGTTATGATTAATAGAATTTTACAATGATTTTTATTAATTACCTTATGTGTACTATGTCTGCCATAGTCTTTGCACAGGTAACACATAAGGGAATTATGACAGCCTTCTTGGGTACAGGTGAATTCTGCTGTGTGTGTGGGATGCACTGGGCACTTTGGCTTGTCCTTAGGTTTTTGTGATAGTGGCAACCTTTTATGCCTACTTAGAGTTTTCGATGAATGAATTGTATTGTCGCAATTCTCACACAAGTGTGTTGTACACACTGTGCAATATAACACTGCAGTGTGAGCTTCATCTTCATCGCAGGTCTGATTAGATTGAAGCCTCTCTCTTTCCAATACCAGCATCTTTTCACTATTAGATTGTTCCAACCTTTCCAATAACTCTATTAATGCAAAGTTCTTCTTCAAACCATAGATATTATTCTGACTAATATCCGTTGGTTGTCTGTCGAATGGACATAACAGGATCTGCTGATCGGTCATGCAAGGCCTTAATCGCAATAGACAAGAGTGACATACTGTATGACCACAATATAAAAGCCTTGGAACCTTTACTCCGTCAATAGAAAATACTTCTTCGCAGACTCTGCATTCTAACACCTGTAAAAAACGACAAAAACTATTCTTTAATAGAGATCAGTTAATAGCTTGTTCACAAATGTTTTGTTTTTGGCCATTGAAAAAATTGAAAAGGTTAAGGTTTGAAAATGGTCCATTTCGACTATCAAAAATAATTCTTTGGCTTTGATTAAAAGAATTTCATATTGTTTTTCTTACATTCGTTTTGGCGACGGGCTTCAGTGATTCTTTGAAATAAGTAGTCAGTCGATTTACTTCTTCTGTCATGATAATTACTATTGTTTCTTATCCAGACTGAAAACAAACATGATGCCATTATTTTATTCCCATAAATGGTGTAACATAATGTACACGTTGAAAGATGAAACAGAACAATACCGAGCACTGTTTATATTTTTCAATTTGCGTGGGTATTTCAATCTCCTCGAGCATTTGTAGACTATAATACAGGATCACTCAGCTGACACTAGTATCAACTTGTAAATCGATATTCAGCAGCTTCCCTTCTCGCGTTGAAAACAATATTATCTATTCTCGAAAAGTATATAATTTGTGTTCGGAATGTATTTACTTGCTGTCATCGACATATTATGCATTAACACCTGCGAATTGTTACAAATTGTATGTTCAGTGCAATGACGTTTTTCTTTTTCATACATATTTCGCTAGCAGCATCACACATTTGTGACCACCACTATCTCATATTTTGCGTAATAACAAGGACCATTAATTCTAAACATGTTTTTATTTAAATTCATGTTATATGCATGTCCTGATGTTGAGGGAATCATTAAATATTCTTTGCACTCGGTATGGAAGATATTTGAAATAAATAATTGAAATAACTGTAGAGAGGGTTTACCGGAATAATACATAATTTTATTTTCGTTACATTTATAATATTTATAATACTTTTATTTTAATTTGTACATTTCTTGTAACATTCTGCATCTGTGAAACATATTAAATATACTATGTTTATTTTTATAAGAAATTATGAAATAAACGTTCGAATGATGCCACATGACTCGAGAAACACGGTCCAAATACAAACAGTACTTTCAACTGATTGCATTATTAGAGGCAAAACTCTCTAATTGGTAAATGGAAATAATTGACAAGTATCATCGTGTATTTTTGTACTGATATATTATGTATGCTTTAGATAATTACAATTATAATGCAAAAGTTGCATTCCTTAATTTGAGAGCTCACAAAATTGAAATTGCTTCATAGAAATCATTTCTTTCTTGACTATTGATTTGAGCACGTCATTCTGTAAATTGATCTCGCAATTAATTTCTAATGTTTCAACGAAATTCTCTTAATTCCATTAAATAGAAATATTAATCTTTGCTATTTCGATACTTGTTACATTATTGCAAAATTAAATTACGAAAAAGTAACAAATTATCAATGCGGAAAATAAACTCGATCTATTTCCTGCACGTTGAATTGTTTAATTAAGTCGCAGTAAAGCGAAACAACGACAAGGAACGAATACGCAATGCGATGATCTACTCGAAAAGAAAAATTAAGATACAATATATGTAAAATATAATAAAATTTTATTTCGTAGCTTGTAAATATATTTTTGTACTTACAAACTAGTATTTCTGATAGTCCATAGTTTTCTCAGAAAGAATTTTAATTATTATTAAATTAGGCAATGGAAAATGAAAAATTCGTTAAGTTATTCTAGATTATGGGTTTGACAATTTTGCGTATATTTTTGATCATGTTTCAAGATAACAAAATGTTATTTTTGTTGCCACTGTTATTTGCCACTGCATATCAATTTCAGTAAGTGCTACAATTTACGTCTTTCTATTCATCTGGTAATAAGTCAAAGATAATCTCAATGTATACAAAGTGGTTATCTCGTGAACTAGAAAATCAATATTGACGATAGTTTTTTCTTTATTGACCTTGGAAGTTACAGATTCAATAATCTCCTGTATTATACGAATGCCATTTGATTTGCAACATTCTATCACAGACTAGGTCTCGTCCGTGACTTTATCTTTATTTCACTATATTCACTCGACGTTCATTCTTCGTGTCATTTTACACGACACACAATATTTTCAAGGTACAATTTAATTACGTCGTAATTGTTATAAAACGAAGTTAGCGTTAATGACAGCGATCAAATTTATGGTACGCCTCAGCACCGATATTATAAAACAAGTGACACATTAATATTCTATTAATGTATTTAATATTTAGATATAAAAATAATACAACTTATTCCTTACGTGTTTATATATGAGTTATATTTTATTATTAATAGGATTCTATAGCTTGAAAAATTTGGGTCACACAAGTGCTTTGGGTGTCAGCTTTTTCTATCTTATCTGTTCTATTACAGTTCTTATGTTACATTATATTTTGCTACGTTATATTAATATATATTATATCTTAATTTTAAAACAATGCTCTTAAAGGCTTAAACTATTTTATTAAAAGTGTATGTAAAAATATTTCACTTATGTTTAATTATAAACGTGTGAACCTTAATTACATTTTCAATTATGTCGTGCTCTTATTAGAGTTTTTGAATATTCAAATATTAATACTCGAATTTGGTTTCGAAGTTTTTTTTTGCTCTCTACGTTACCGATCGATATAACCATTGATATGCTACGTAACTTGAGGCGTGCGCGTAGCAGATGACTAATCGCCATTGCAGAATCACAGAGAATCTTTTCAGTAGGAAACGCAGAGTTGAATACAGTTGCTACTGAAAAATGTTCTCGAGACACGTAAGGAGTTTCGTAACCAGTGCAATAAGGCGCTCTGAACACCCACCAGAGCCTGGCTTAGTACGTAAAAATAATAATCTATAATTGCGTAATTGTACTACAATGTTTAGTCGAGTTTTGTTCAAATTTCGTATCGTTTGATGCAGACAAACCATTGAAACATGTGTGGAATGAACAAATTTATTATCCTTAATAATTGTAGTTGATTTGGGACCTGTTAATTTCTATGAAAAATCTGCTAAACGCATAGAGGTTAGAAATCAATTCTGAAATTGATTGTTACAGTTCGTTCCCTTCTCGCTCAAAAATAAATATAAGATAACTGCAATTTTCATTATATTCTTTGGAAGTGGATTCGCTGCACCATTCGTGATCCTTCGTCACCAGATGTTGAAGTAGTTATGTAAGTTAAACTTTCCATAGCTTAAATATATAATTTTAATTCAAACCTATGTATTTAATAACTACTGTTTTTCAGACGTTGCAGTATTTATGTTAGGAAGTTCCTGTACTCCGGTACCATAAGAAACGATGTAAGGTATTAAGAGTAAAGGGCTATTAAAATAAAAAGATTTAATAAAAATCTCTTTGTATATGTATATATTTCTCTTGTGTTTTCTTTAATCCTTTAATCAATTTTAGTTATGTAAGTCAATAAATATGTCGATATAACCCAGAGGTACAGCAGAATACAAGTTTCGAGTATAAGCAATACTTATTACTATTAACCACAAATTTAATATGACTTTTAACCTATTATTTTTAAAATTATATTTCATTAAGTTTACTTCGCTGTCAAATGATCAGCTATGTTTGTATTGCAGCACTTACAATACTTAATAAGAGAATTACATTTCTCTGATGTATCAATTATTGGAGAGGCGACTAGCTTAATTCTCTCATGCTAGTAACTCAAAAATAGCGTTAACCCTTGACTCAAAGAGCTACATGAGACTCTGTATATGAGCAGTTCTATGTAATATTCAATTAAAAGTAGGTTTTGGTTAGAGTAAGTATCTTCTCGTAATCAATCATCGATTTAGACATCATTGAGTTATTGCATAAAACAGTTACTTAATAAAGAAGATACTCAAATTCTATATTGGTTAAGTAGATACTAGTTCGTATATTGTGTCACAAATGGCGCCACAAGTCTTTCATGAAGTCAACACGTCAAAATTGAAATATCAATTCAGACAAAATGTATTACTGCATAGTATCAATAACGATTATTCAGAATAATATATCTATTATCTAATCCAATTTCTTATGCTTCCGCTTTATCTTCCACCTTCACAAATAAACTTATCCACACATTCTTTCTCGTCGCATTTGAATCTCTATTTTCATTATCTCATGAACCTAACGATTCATCATCTCTGGTCCAAAAATGCCAGGCACGAATCGCAATGAAAACATTCCTTGTCCCACTGCACCTAAATCTCCACCTCTACATAGACAGCTACGGAAACCATCGTAAACGAACTCCTTCGAAATTCGCATCGCGTGTTCCAATATTCATTAAAACCTCCTCGCGAGTCCGATAATCACCGTTCTCGGTTATAAATTATGATGACCTCTTTCCTGATGATCTCAGTTGATCGGTTACATAAACGCCACGCAAACGGTCCGTTGTGAGACGCATTACCGACATAAGTACAGCAGTAATCGTCGCTCTGGCGACTTGACTCAGTGATACGTTCGGGAATTCGCGGGGCCACTACATTCCTAAACTGGAGCTTACATTTTATCGCATCCCAGACACCCAAGCAAGCCGGTTATCTCGCGGCCCTGACAACGGCACGCGATCCAATTCAAGAGTAATGCGCTATCTATACGCAGTTCCGTGCATACGGCTCTCCTCTCCCCTTTCGTTTTAAACGCCGGGCAGGAGGATCGATCGGACGACGCTCGTCGCGCCGTTCCTCGCAGTCTCGCCAGTTGACACGTGAGAATCGGCCTTCAGGCGAGACGATTCGGGACAGTCGTATCGCAGTAATCGTTCACGCAGCCTGGTGTCACGATGAATCGACGTTGAACGGCTAGCCACTCGACAAGGAGCACGTGCTCGACCCGCAACCCCTCAGTGCCTTTCATGCGGACATCTCCAACGTACACGCGGCGTCTTTTACCGGGGAACAACGCGGCCCCGATGAGGTGAACGATCACGCCTACCCAAGTCCAGCGAGCCACGTCTTCTCCAGCCCCACGTACCCATAACCCGGCGATACCATGTACCGGAAACTGGGCCTTGAGGTCCAATATTTAACGGACCAACACCTGGCCGGCTTCGAGAGCTACAAGGTAGGCCCCAACCCGGCTGCAACGTTTTTGTCCCACGTTGTCTGTTAGTCGTTTTAGGCGGTTTCCTTGAGTGACTAATGGTCGTGATCAATGGAGTTTCCCATTACTCATTGTACTACCTTGGCTACTTGAGCATGTTGTTGGAGTTTGCTGTTGGAGCTTGTTTTATGTCAAGTTTTTTGTTTGGTGGGTGTTGTAGTAATGGGTATCTGTTTATTGAGGACTAACTTTGATGTGTATTTTTTTGAGGAGTTAAAGACTGTTTGTGTTTGATCAATTAATTGATAGAGTTTTAAGTTTCTTGCGGAAACTTGTTTAATGTAAGGAACAAAAATATATTTATTCATGAGGTAATTCGAATGGATTATTCATAAATGCTATTGGGAAATACTTGTTGACTGTGTAATATATGATGCAAGCAGTATTATCTTGTTCAATGTATCTCATTTACATTGAATTGTCTTGTGTTACCCAAGCGTTGGTGATAATGCGAGTTTTAAAGTGGGTTAAAATCTTGAGGATAATATGATTTGAAGTTCATTATCTAACTAACTTTACATATTTCTTTTCAGTACAGCTGTGTGGATACAAGCCCCCTTAGTGTGTATATTATGCACCCATTTTGGGACAAAGTAGTGCAGGTATGTTTTTTCATAGAAGTTAATTATTGTCAATATTGTTTCATTAAATATTAAAATGTTATTTTAGTATTGTCCAAAATGGGTTGCCCCGAATGTGTTAACTTTCTCTGGATTTCTTTTCACCGTTCTGAACTTCACAATGTTTGCAAGTTATGATTATTATTTGTATGCATCCAGCGATGATAAACCACAATATCCACCTATACCAAGATGGGTTTTTGCATTGGGAGCATTTAATGTTTTTATGGGACACACACTTGGTAAGTACAAAAGAAATAAATTGCAGTCATTATATACCATATGATCGTGCCGTTTCATAATGTGTGATGCATAGTGGGGGGTAATAATCTGATTGTAAGAGGCAAATACTGTACACTTCAGATATGTCTGAAACTTTTCAGTAATACGTGAATTCATTACAGATGGTATAGATGGAAAGCAAGCAAGGCGGACACAGACATCTGGTCCCTTAGGGGAATTGTTTGACCATGGACTAGATAGTTGGACAACAATGTGGATTACTGTGTGTATGTACTCTGTATTTGGTAGGACAGATCATAGTGTGTCCCCATTGAGAATGTACTTCATATTATGGAGTGTATTTATAAACTTCTATCTGACTCATTGGGAAAAGTATAATACTGGTGTACTGTTCCTTCCATGGGGCTATGATATATCTATGGTAGTAAGTATATCTGATAAAACTGTTGTCATTATAGTATTTTTCTAACTGATATACAGTTCATATTACATATAAATATTTTTAACTCCCAGGGTACTACTACAGTGTTTATTATATCAAGTATAGGAGGACACGAGACATGGAAGTTCATGCTGCCTGGTGAGATATCTGTGGGAGTGATGTTCGAAATTGCACTCTATGTCACGGCAATTCTGACCAGTTTACCCGTGGTGCTTTGGAATATATATAAGTGAGTGTACACGCGATGAAAGTGTTTTATACACTTCATTGAATAACTGTAACGTGATCCTTTGCTTTCAAGAAACATATTAATATTCCTCTCCATCAACTTGATAATTCAAAACAAAAGTCATTTTACAATTAAAACATACCGAGAACTAGCACTGTATGAGAAATCTCTATAAAGTGACTTCAAGAGATTAAAAAATTCAATTTATTCCCAGATCATATAGGGACAAGACTGGTAAAATGAGGACATTCTTAGATGCCATAAGACCTTTGATACCGTTAAGCATACTTTTCGCAATCTCGACAATTTGGGTGATGCACTCACCTAGCAATATAGTGGAGAAAGATCCCAGAATCGTTTTTCTGACTGTTGGAACTATCTTCTCCAATATATGTGTAAGACACTCAGCAGCCTAGCAACCTATCCTATGTTGATATTATTGGCCGGCAATAGGCTAATATTAACCCACTATTTACTAATTTATAGTGTCGATTAATTGTGTCACAAATGACCAATGTCAGATGCGAAATATTCTCTTGGATACTGCTGCCTGTAGGAGTAGCAGCAGCCTTCTCTTATATCCTACCTAGCACAGATCTGGCATTCACATACGTAGTAGCAATAATTTCGCTGCTTGCTCATATTCATTATGGCACTTGTGTGGTAAGCAGTATTTTTTTATCATTATTGGTGCGTGAGGTGGTCGATTACATGCGTAACAAGTTTTTATAATCTTCGGTGCAATAAAAGCAATAATAATTTTTTTATCATTATTGCTTGCGTGAAGTGATATATTCCAAGTGTGACAAGTTTTTGTAATCCTCGGTGCAATAAAAAGAAACCGCTTCTAACCGATCCCTTTTTGTTTCAGGTGCGCCAGATGTGTCGCCACTTCCGCATTCATACGTTCCGTATCAAGGACCGCGTCGATTGACTACTTGCCGACGATACATGTTAAAAACGAAGAAACAAAGTGAGTCGGAGTCAGCTACGAATCTGTGAGTACAGAGCAGACAAGGGCAGAAAGCGAATCAGATGGGAATAACATTTTCGAACGGTACAGAGATCACGTTCCCAAGCGTCTCTTAGGCAAGGGACACGGTGAACGATAGTGGACTTTAGACATCATTCATGCATCCAGTCATTGCTGATCACATATCCATGAAAGAAGTACCTGTTCAGTGATCTTATTTATTTTTTCGCAGAGACGTTTTTTTTGTTCATCCTCATGTCGCTGTGATAACATAACCGCTGCAATCACGCTTCTTTGGTACCGGGTAACATTATACCATTATTGGAGGTTAGAGTGTTTAGAGCAGATCTTAGGAAACAAGGGAGGAAGCAAGGTGATAGCACTCTATCGACTTCTGTACTGTCTTTTTGTGTTCAGTTCGTAAACTCTGACTGTGTATAAAGAGAGGCTTTTCGTTCTTCGTTTTTAACATGTATTGTCTGTGTAGTTGACCGCCTGATCTAACTCGGTATGGCTGTGTACGTCTGATAATGGTCTCCACGTACAGTCTGTACACTTGTAGGCGACGGTATAGTGAAATAGTAAATGGGTAATAAAATGGAAATTAGGAGTTAGTTAAAAGGGTTCCCTTTTTTCTTATTAAAAAGAGAAATTAATTTAACAGGAAGTTGCTTTGAACAAGATACTTTTCATCGATTGCTATTTGCTGTTTCATGATATTGTTGCCTTAAATTGTACTGTCAATGGATAAGGATATAGTGCATATGATATTCAGAAGAAAATCGTTGTACTGACTTTTAAAGTGACACGACATCTAAATTTGGTTTAAGACGTTTTTGACTGTCTTAGCCCAGATTTAGGTGTTTCACGCTGTGAATTTCTTTGAAGATAGTTGAAGTGAGGCTACTATGTTCCTGAATTCCCAAATGAATTTTCTGAAATTGCTATGTCTTGTCTATTAACTGTAAGTGGAGAGCAGAGGTCTTAAAGCGTGATATACGATTAATTTTGATGTTACATAGACGCCGAGCTAGCTTAGAATAGTGAATATCGAACAAAGATCGATGGAAGATTATCGGGTTTCATTAATAGCTGTAATGAGACACACGTGTAAAGAGACGTTATTTATTTTCGTGTAAGGATGCATGTGTATGTTATGTTGCATTTAACGAGGACCTAGCGCGTCAACGCTGAATCCACGGATTCCATAATAGTTAGGCTAAATAACTTAGAATTGTCAATTCGGAGGGGAACCACGGAAACTCCTGTTCAGCGAAAAGACTATTCTGTATATATACACATATATATATATATATTTTTTCCTTGGAAACGAATGGAACGCGTGATACTGTATACTGTAAATTACGCTATGCGTTTGCTAGCTTCTCAACGTGGGAGGTAATCTGTGAATAATCGCAGTCGGAATTTCACGAGGAAAATATTTTTTATTTTTATTTTCTTCTGTTTTTAATTATCGAATAACGTTGCTTGATTGTTTGATGATCACTTTGTCAATTCTTCTCGTAGCTTCGCTAGTGTTCGTGTTCTAGATATGATTGTTGAGACAACGGTTGTTGCGCTAATAAGCATGTCCTTCATGACAATAGTAGATAATGTATAATACGTAGATGGTAATTATTGTTTAAGTTACTTTTTTTTAAATATCCATTGACCATTTTTTGGGCCAAATCGCAGACCGAAGAGCAGCATTTGCATTATTAAAATCATATTTGTATACCTGGTACTTAGCGACTGCGAATGAGAAATATTAGACATTGATAGTGACCCACGTTGGAAGAACGGAATTATAACCTTCTTTTGGAGTTTGAGTGAATTCGAGAGTAAGTTTATCTATGATAACCTAAGTCAATGTAGAATAAATTCAATATTTTAAACATGCCTTATTTTTTTTTGTAGGTTTTTCATTAGCTCTGCGTTATAATCTGAAATGCAGTTGTCGATCTACGACATTTTTATTCATATATTCGAAACACTTCGCTAGTCCGTTTTACATTAAGTATATGAGTAGCTGTAATTATGAAAATAAGATGCGTTCGCTATTGTAATGAATATCGAAGGTTGTTTTTAATCGTTAGTCTAACTCTGGCGATAGGGTAAACGAAATTTTTTGCAAAATTTAGTATCTTGTATATATAAATAATCTTGAAAAATGAAAAAATGTAGTTTGTGCATAGCATAGATTCTGAGACGCTACATATTTCCTTTTTGTTAACAGAGTTGTTTATGCAATCAATATCCAACCAAATCTATGTAATCTGATCCAAACCACACAATGCAACTTTATTCTTTAGACGTGGAGTTTACTGTCAGTGCAAATATGCATTAACGTATTGTTTGTAATTTTTATAGATAGTAAATGTAATCACACATTCTCCAAATATTTATTTCTGCCAAAGACATTAAACAGATTTTATGTAAATAGTGTTTTATTTTTTCTACCTTTTACTTGCGCTTCTAACTTTTGTAATGGCAGTCCTTCAACTATATTTTTTTACATAGTTATTGAAGATAATTCTACTTAAAACTATAACAAAAATTTGTTACGCTACATTGTAGCAATAAAAATGATTACTTATAACATTTGCTCGCCTGTACGTCGTATCATTATAAAGAATAAACATGTTATAGTACATTGACAAAAAACATAAACATAAGAAAATATACAAAATTATTAACTGTATATCTTTAGATATTCTGCTTTTACTTTTTCTCTTTCTTCAGGTACAGGAAGTTGTGGTTCAATACCTCGTGATTTCCGATCTTTCATAACATCGTTCTAAAATATTAATATATTGTTTATCCGCATTGAAGCTTATGTAAACAAATTAATTGCACTTAAATTACCCAAAAGGTCTTGCAATTCCTGTAATTTTCAAAATACAGCACACATCTCTTCATTAAATCCTGGTTATTCGTAAGGCAGTTTAAAGCCAATTCATGTTCCTGCATAAATAACAATGAATAATATTAATATAAATCATAAGATATAAGAACTTACTTTTAAGGTTAGGTAACCGGAAAGTAAAATTAACCTCAAAGGCTACATGTACCTTTAGGCAAGGGTTGTTGATGTTTTGATCACGTTTCAGCTTATGCTCTATTTCAGCATATGTCGTCTTATTAACGCTCTGAAGAGTTACTGTACTCATAATTTCTTAGCTTACGTAGGAAAAGATCAGTAAACACCTAACCTATAAAACTGTAATGTTTGGTACTTTCCCTGTAGCGCCACTGTCACGAATGAACAAAAAAATGTGTATGCACTGTAAAATTCGGTATAAATTGTGATCAATAAAGTACATTTTCTCTATTTTAATGCATTGCATATAGTGATTAAATTTCTAGCATACAGTAACTCCCTCCCTCTTTGTAATTATATACTTAAATCTATAATGAGTCTGATTGACAAAATGAATATGACTTAGCACCATGTGGACTGATTGGTAAAAATGACGAAGTAATATTATATAGAAGGAGTATACTGTATATATAATATATATATTTTTTCGTTGATCATGTATTTACATATCATTACAAAAAGAAAACAGTTCTGTAAAGCATACAATATTACAAACAAATTTCTTCACTGATACCGATATCCTATGATTCATTTAAAAAATATTCTAGCTCTGGAAGCATGTAAGCGTGACCTCTCATCAATAATTTATTCTGTACGGTTTCGCTGTCCGGAGAATGTTGATAATGAAGTATTAAATTACTCTTAATTTATAGTAACCGCCATAATTCAAAATCTACCAATCGATCTAACACTTAAGTAACGAATGGTTTTTGAAATATAAAATCAATACGCGATATATACAACGTTGGGGACATCGATTACAATAATCTTAATCGAAACGGGAACATATCGATTGTATCCGTGGTTTACATATTAATTAACGTTCAAGCTGGTTCGAAAATGAACGTGAACAATAAGTAAATGCCTGTAAATAGCATCGTGTGCGTGGACAATGCGAAAATCGTTCTCTACAGCAAATCCTTTCGAACTTTCCATTGATAAAATAGTAAACTAGTTTATGAGGAGTGGTAACAATGTCAACTGCAGGTACAAGAACACTATACATAGGCGGAGGTACAGTGCACTATGAATTTTACAAAGTTACATCTAGAAAATAAAATCTTATGGTTTCTGTATTCAAGTCTTGTTTGAACACTGATACTCAAGGAGATCTGTTCATTACTGAAATCCATTATTTTCTTCGCTGCTAATGATCACTTTAAGTATTCTCAAAGTTTTGTTGTACTTTTTGCCATTTAGCTACCATACTGGACACTTCCTTGTGTTTCTTGCTGATACCAATCCTTGCCTGAAATTATATTTTAATATTTAATACCTGTTATTCTTGTCCTTTCATCAATCTTCTTACCTTCTTCTTCTTCTTTTCCTTCATGGCCGCATCAACATGCAAAGTTTCCAGTTCCATGTCGACTTTTGCCTCCTCCACAGGTAAAGATGACTCTGTTGTTACTATGTCCTGCCTTTGCGGGACTTTCTCGGTCCTACTGTTCTCTATGCGAGCGATGTCGTTGTAAAATGAATCCAGAGCAGACACCAAGGATTCTTTGGCTGTTTTAATTGGTGGCTTTTCGATCACCTTGTGGTTCGTGTATATCGGCGTGTAATCCGGTATAATTTGAATTGCTGGCTGCACGCCATGTTTATGCGGAAGTACTAAGGCTGCCGGCTATTTAAAAAGAACACGACACACTGATAGTATAACAAGAGTAAACTGACAACAAAGTTATATTAACTCTCTACTAAGTGTATCTGAGTTTAGCATAACTTCAAAATTCTCCGTTAAGCCCTAGTACTTAGAAAGTTCTTTAACTGAAATAAGTCAGGTTTAGTAAATCTTCATCTGAAAACTTACAGAATGTAAGTGTTGGTATGCTGGATACTGAAGATAATGTTCTTGAACAATGGCTGCTGGATGACTCAGAATGGGAACTGCTGGATCTCTTGCAGTGGCATCATACAGTGCAGTACCTTGAGGCTGCACAGCACTGTATATAATCCTTTTCAAAGCGGTTGCTGGCAATTCATAAGGCGCTTCCGTTAAATCCACACCAGGTGGTAAGGGTTCCACATTTGTCACACTAGTCACATTAGCTACATTGGCTATGTTTGCGAGGGTGGTAGCTTGAGGTGACAGAGACGTTGCAGGATTAGACAGAGAAGATATGGCAGGGTTCTCTAGTTGGCTGACTTCTGTGATTACTGTCCCTTCTACGAAGAACAAGAACACATTCAGCCCTGGTAACAAGTAGTTTAATCATGCTACTAAGTAAAGTATTCACCTTCTCCTACTCGTTGCTTTTTACTGTCCAAGGCATCACTGCCTTTGTCCCGTTTTCTTTTGTCCTTCTTCATATCATTTCCATATATTCTTGGTGGTGGAGGTGGGCTTGGATTCGAAATCTGTGGCGGTGGAGGAGCTTCCACGTCAGGGTTCCTTGAAATTGTTACATCTTGACTCGTATCGCTACCTTCTTGCGGTTTCTTTGGTTTCGACTTCAGTCCTTCCTCTTCTGCTGCTGCGAGGACAAGCAGCAGAATAAAAATTAGATGTTAGGCTTTCAGTTTAATCATTGACAGCTGTACCTGTGGCAATCATCTCTTCCTGTTCCATTGGTGGAGGCGTCGAGCAAATTTCCATTTCCTCTGCGCCACCAGCGATGCCAGTATCCGGATAGATCCATTGGGTTACTCCGGTGGCAGTGTTCTGGTAATAATATCGTTTATGCGACCTGTAAAAAAGCGCACCGGGGAATGTAGAACAGCCGAGGCATAGAAGGGATTTACTTGCATGTGTTTACATTGACAGACAAACTTTCGAGGGACGTTGATCCGTGAAAGGGACGTCCCAGCGAGTTCTAAAGCGACTTACTTGCTAGGAAACAAATATCAGTTAATACTCCTACCTGCGACTCGGCGTGCCATTTATTCAGCGAGACCCCCTTTATATTACATAAAGGATTAAGTGTTACTTAGCGGTTACATAGTGGGGCGCTCTCTTCCGCAACACGAGCACCGAGTATACGTCGACAACGTCAGCGTTACGCTAGCGAAATTAAGCGAATTGGTTATGAGTATTTGAGGGATTATGCGAGCCGGGATGGTTTCTGTTTTGTTTTGCTCTCCATCTT